AGTTTTGGGATTCCAGTATAAAATTCCTTCAGCATTTGAGTAGAGCTCTTACTCTTTTCTGTAAAGATTTAGTGAATGAGAGTTTCAGGGAGGCAGTTCAAGGGAAGTTTCTTGGTGCTCTAATAGGCAGCAAGGTTTCTCAGCTTTAGACTTTTAGGCAAGTCCATTAAACAGGGCCTTTGACATGGTCCCCCACCACTTCCTTATCTCTAAATTGGAGATGTGGATTTGAAGAATGGTCTATTCAGTGGGTAAATTATTGGTTGGAAGGTTACAGCCAGAGCGTTGTGGCCAAAGGCTTCGTGTCCAGGTGGAGGCCTGTAATGAGCTGTGTCCCCCAGAGGTCCACCTTGGGTCCAGTACTCTTTAACATCTTTGTCAGTGACACAGATGATGGGGTTGAGCACACGCTCAGCGAGTTTGCTGATGACCCCAAGCTGAGCGGTGTGGTTGATACAGCAGAAAAAAGGGCTGCCATCCAGAGGGACCTTGATAAACTTGAAAGGTGGGTCCTCATGAACCTAATGAGATTCAGCAAAGCTAAGCACAAGCTTTTGCACTTGGGCTGAGGTAATCCCAGATACGTATACCAGCTGGGAGAAGAGCTTGGGAGTAACTCTGCTAGGAAGGACTAAGGGGTTCTGCAGTCTTCCAGTACTTGAAGGGAGCTTATAAGCAGGAGGTAAAACAACTATTTACATTATCTAATTGTGGCAGGAAGAGAGGAAATAGTTTTAAACTAGAAGAGTGGGATTTAAATTAGATGTTAGGGGGAAAAGGGAAAAATTTTACTCAGTGTGATGAGGCACAGGAGCAGATTGGCCAGAGAAGCTGTGAATGTCCCAGCTCTGGAGACGTTCGAAGCCAGGTTGGATGGGGTGCTGGGCAGCCTGATCTAGTGACTGGCAATTCTGCTCATGTCAGCAGAGTTGGATCTAGATGATCTTTAATGTCCCTTCTAACCTAAGCCATTCTATGATTCTGTGATTCTTACTCAGAGCTGAGTCTTCAAATCATCACGTTTGGCTTGCTCATTTAGCTTCTTCCTGCTTTGTAGCATCTCTCTGCTTTGCCGTGGAGCAAAACAAGAATGTTCTGAGCAAAGCATGAGAGACAGTTGCAGTTAGAGTTAGGGCAGTATGGTTAGGTTGCAGTTAGACTTGAAGATCTTGAAGTTCTTTTCCAACCTGAGCAATTCTATGATTCTGTGATTCTATGGCAGGCAAAAAATCAAGGTGCTGGTTTGTGGCTCATCTGCAAAGGGTGAAGTTAACTGCAGGGCTGCAAGAAGCACAAATTGGAAAGGGCTGAGACAGCTAAAGGGCTGTGTGACTAAACATTATAGATCCTATCAAGCCACCGGGGACAACTGCAGGCAAAATTTTCAGACTGCATTGGATTATCTTCTCCAGGTGGACGGACTTTTCCACCATAGATGAAATTTTAATACAAAAAACATGTTTGTTTTGTGTGGAGTAATTGCTCCAGAGTAAAACGATTTTTATTCATGCTAAAGAATTTGCATGACTTACACTAGTGCATTTGCCAAAATATTCAGGTCCAAATGAAGGTTACAAAACTTTTTGGTCTGGAACTGAATGCATTGAAGCATTGTTGTTTTTATTAGTGTGTTGCTTTAATGCAACCTTGCAGTTAAATGGTGGTGCATGTTGTATTTAAGGGATGTGCCCTTCTGATTATGGACCTATCTAGACTAGCAGAGAGAAGAATGTGAACCAGGGAATGGACTGGGGGTTGTTGCTGATGCCTATGGCGGTACATGGGGCCTTCTTGGAGTCTGTTAACTTGTGAGAACTCTCAGGTGCTGTGCAGGAGTGAGGTCAGTAGGCACATGAAAGTACAATGATTTTTGTGTTACAGTTTCCCTCAGCTTTTTTTTCTAGTGATGAGAAGGTATTTTGGCAAGCTGTACACAGCCCTGCTTCGTGGCAGTTTTGCCAAGATGGCTGTTATAGATGGTTGACCATTACACAGCAAATGACGAATGATGACAACTTTGAGAATTAAACTTCACTTAGACTGGTGTTCTGTGATTTGAAAAAAAAATCTAGAAAATACCAAATATCCACACACAGCTTCCAATTCCAATGATTTCTGTTTTCTTTCCTGTACTTTCTTAATGAACAGAATCTAACAAGAGCTCCAAAAGTTAAAGTTGTAGTTCAGTCTTTAAAACACAGTTCTAATCTGAAAACTTACACACCCTAAATCAAGAAGTGTTAACAGTAATAGCCTGTGAAGGATTGATTTGTAAAGCTGTAATCACAGTTTTGGAGTTGTTGTTTCAGTGCATTCACTTTTCAATCCCCCTTTTTTATGAGGACAGTCCTGAAAAGCAGACTTTTAAAAGCACTCGTGGTGTTCAAGTGTTCTGTGTAGGTGTGAATAAGAAACTTTTGACTCTGCTGGCTTATCTGTATACTTTTTAAGCTTTACCACACACAGCATTGACACCACTGGCACAGCCAGCGAGGGGCTGCCATTCCCCTCAGTGGGCAGCTTGACTTCTTGCATAGAGCTTCCATGGCTGCAGTATCATTGTCCCTGTATGAAGGATACAGGGGATTCTGACTGGAGCAGCGCTGGGTGGGATGATCACAAATGCTGCTTAGAGATTGACCAGGGGGACAAGCAGACTGCTGTTTTTCTGGATCTTTCAGACAGTGTGGTAGTCCTGCTCAGTGCTGGCTCTGGTAGACCATTCTGCACTCTTTAGAAATAAAGAAGCTGACAGGCTTCAAGAACACAGAAGTATGATGTTAATTTACAGCCTGCTGTGACTCACTGATATAATTAGAAGCACATTGTGTTTATTTGTACTCCTAAAACCAATGAGCTTAACTACCTCCTCCTTTAGGAACAGGGTGGTACACCCTGTGTTTTAGTGGATCACAAACAGAGGCTAGCATTTTCACACTCATCATTTGGTTATATAAAAAAGGCATATTTCCCTACCACACAGTAATTCCCAAATGCAGTCACTTATAAATCAATGCGGAACAGCTTGTTCATCTTGGGAGCTGAGGTATCAATTCAAACTCAAACAAAAAAAAGAAAAAAAAAAAAAAAAAAGAAAACCAAACAAACAAACCAAGATTGGAAAATGATAATCAGTTGCAATTACAACTCCTAATGAGTGAATCAGAATTTATATGTATTTTGCTGAGACTGTTTACTGCATGCGACTTTTGCTTAAAACCAAGGAATCTCCCAAAGAAGGAGCCCTTGTAGGGGTGCTGATGCCCTGCAGTCACACTGCTATCCTATGTCAGACTGAGGAGGGCCTTCAGTTGTGTTTCTCAAGTCTCAGAAATGCTGTGTAGGGTGCTGCTGTCATGAGCAATGTTGTCTTCTCTATACGGTATGTTGAAATAGCTGGCAAAATGTGAGCGTGACACGTGAGACCATGGGAGTGGATGGTTCTGTGGGCTGCAGATGAACAGTCAAAGTTTAGTTATTCGTTCTGGCTGATGTTTTGGTAGCTCTAGCAAGAGTCAGCCAGACAGGACCAGCTTACAGTCTCCATATCCTTTGATAATGACATTCAGCTGGCATAAGAGGGAGCCAGCGGCCAAATTCCCTCCCTATCAGAGTAGAGTCCTATATGGTTGATGTTACTGTTTGCTCTGAGTTTCTTGTTCTCTGCTTCTTTGTAGGAAAACTTGAAGGATCTTGGTTTTCTCCCTTTATGGAGCAGGAACAGTTTTCAAAGTTAGTTTCCAGTTTTTATGGTTGAGATTGATTATATTGAATGTCAGTATGTTCCCTACTTTATAACGGTGTGATTTTGAAATGCAATATATTGCATGTTTTCTTTAGAGTAATATGACCACAACACCATAAAAACATTTTGTTCCTCCAAATCCAAGCAAACAAAACATGTTCTGTATTTACTTGATGGTTTCAACCACAAGAAATTTGACCTTCGTTGAATTTGCATAGTTTTTCTGCAGCTGAAATGTCCAACACATTAATCTATCCTGTATTGTAACTACTGTAACATATTATTGTTTGGGTACATAGCATCTCAAACAAATCCAGACAAATTATTTTTATTTTTTATATGATGTGACGTAAACATCTCATGCTTTTGAAAGATGAATATTCTCAGTTTCAGGAGGCGGTTAATATCACACAGGTGGAAAAGTGCCTGTGCCTATGAATGCCATTATTTTTTTAGATAAGAACTTATGTCTTTACATCATTCTTTTTATCCCTCTGACTTTATTTAGTATTTGTTGCTTGTAGGGAGAGGCTACAAGCGAGACTCTTTATTGACTTTACTGACCATCTACACATTTGTTTTTGTTTGCCTTCGGTGGCAGGAAATCTGGAGATGAAAGCACTGACCGTGGAGAATGTGGGTTCCAAAAAATAAGGCTTGTTTTTAAAAAATGCAGACTTTCAACATTGCAAACCATTTGGAGGTCTGTGCAGAATCAGCAGGAGCCATTAGAGAGTGTAGCTGTATGTTGGAAAGGAGAACAACAAAGCTGTAAGCTTTGTAAAAATGCAACTTTTAGTAAAAATATTGGAAGCAGGGTAAGGGATTTAGCTCCATGATCAAATGTGTCAATTTTGCTCCGTGCATTTCTGTACTCTTTTGTATTTTTCTGGGATCTCTGTAGTTCTGAAATTTTCTTACCTGTTACCGTTTGCATAAACTCCAGAGACTGCAGAGATTAGCAAAGACTGTGGCAAAGAGTGCTCCAAACAAAGCTGTCTGCCTCTCCAAGGTTACCTGAAGAGCTTCTTGTTATAACAAGCTCAGCATCATTGTGAAACCATAAGTCATATCAAAATACAAATTGTAATGTTCCTAAGTGATTCAAAATATGACTGTGAGTGCAAAGACAAGAATGTCATGTTTAAAAGGCCGTGTTTAAAAGGCATTTGAACACACAACAACTGTTGCCATAAGCCTTAGTTCATAAGGTTGCTCTGTGCTTCTCATTCTTATGTCATATTTTCTGTTTTAGGTAGCAGCTTCTGACTCCAAACAGTGAAATTCTTAGAGAACTAGCCTCAGTCAAAGCTTTCCCTCCACCAAGGAAAAGTCCCTGCCTGGAAGAGAGGCAAGTTCACTCGTTCACTCTGCTGCAAATAAATGTGCAGAGACTGGAGGCTTTGCCTTAACACAAAGACTTGCAGATCTTCTACCTGCTTACCAGGGTTGGCTTCTGGAGCTTATGAACATAAAACATACTGAAGAAGATTTAAATCAAGAAAAAAGAATGGTTGGAGTATATTCCCACTGCCTGAATTTCAATGCCCAGCTTTTACTCCAGTAGATTTTGAGAGCTAAGTATAGGATGAAGGCATCTTCATCCAGGTCACTGATGAAGATGTTGAACAAGATCAGACCCAGCACTGACTCCTGGGGTATACCACTAGTACAGGCCTCCAGTTGGACTCTGTGCCACTGATCTCAACTCTGAGCTCTGCCAGTCAGCCAGTTCTCAACCCACCTCACCATCCACTCATCTGCTTGTACTTAGCTTCATTGCAAGGATGCTGTGGTGTCTACCTTGCTGAAGTCAAGGTACACAACATCCACGGCTCTCTCCCCATCCACCTGGTCAGTGGTGACATCATAGAAGTCTACCATGTTGGTCAAGCATAATTTCCTCCTTGTGAATCCGTGGTGACTACTCCCAGTAACCTTCTTCACTTCAATTGCTTGGAGATGGCATGACTGTATTGTTTTGCTGTTTATTTCATTACTCTTGTTTATTTTATACAAGAGCTGCTTCTTATTGTCAGATTTCCTGTTAAGTTCAGGTAAATTAATGACTACAACTGTTTGTTGTTGTTTGTTTTTCTTTACTTTTTTTTTTTTTTTTTTTGAGGGTGGAGATGCAATGAACTGTTGCAACATGAACATTTTTCCAGTTGAAGCCTTATTTGGAATAGGTAAATGCATTTGCTTGCTCCTTTCCACACAGCTATGGCATGGGTTGCATCCTTATTTTGGAACATTCACCCATTCTTATCCAGATAGTGTTAGTCAACCATTATTTTTAAACAGCATTATCCCAGAACACCTGCATCTAATGCATAACTAGAAAAAGAAATAATATTTTCGAACGGAATTCCTAAACATTTATTCAATTCAGAAGATGCTGTGAAAGTACTTTTATTCCATATACTTGCTGAAACATGGTGAGTAGTCCAGAAGGGTAGAGAATTTATTCCTTATGTAACAGAACTAACAAAGCCCAATTTCCTCAAAATTTGCATGCTCTTTCACCCAATACCTCTCCCCACAGTAAGCCAGTTTCCTTCCTCGTCTCTCATGAGATCTGCATCTCAGTAACTTGAGATCTTCCTCTGCTGATGTATTTCCAGTTCAGCACTTGCCTCTATGTTCCTGCCTTTTTTCCCCTGTGTTTCTGAGATGAAACTCAAAGTAGATCTAGGACTGAGCTGATGAGTAGTGCCACGTGCCCAGGAGTCAGCTGGTAGCCATGGGCTGAATGGCCTGCCACCTGATGCTGAAGAGAACGCCTGTTTCTCTAGCTTTGCTCTCAGTAAGTATGTCAGTTGTGGGGGTTTTTTAAATACTTCTTGTCAGAATTTAAAAACTCAGGTATCAGATATCTTTGAGATACCTGGTTTTGTCACACAAGCTGATATGGATTAACAAGGCTGGAAGTGAAGTGACTGAAAAGCTTTATTCTTGGATGGTAGTAAGAATATCTGCCGTGTGCCATTGATAGGCATAGCATAAGCTTTTTGAATGTGTGTAATGATTGTGATATAAAAGATCAGATAAATAAATAAAAAAGAGTGAACTACTGGTTGGATAATAGGTTTGAAGTTTGATGTGAAAGCCTAGAGGCTGTGTCCTGTGCCTCTGAGCTGGAGGTTTCATTTCCAGATTAGTAAATGGGTTCATTGTCTACTCATAGTTCCTTGGTCTTGTCTAATTTATAAAGACCAGAGTTCATGTCCACGTATTTTTTCCTTGAAACAGTTGTCCTCTTCAATAGAGAATCAAGGGATATCTCTATAAGTAAGTTATTGATTTGGTAGGATAACTGTGTTTAAGCTGTTGAAGGTTTTACTTATTTTCCACCGATCAGCCATGCCAACTGTAGTGTACTAAATAAGCACTGATGTATGCAGCCATTCAAGAAAGTCTAATGAATGGAGATCATAAGAGCATAATGGAGATCATAAGAGCATAACTGCACTGCATATGCTCTTGTCAAAAGCTCCTTGCTCACTGAGTGCTTTAGCCCTCATGTGCAAACAAATCAGATCCTTCTTGCACTGATTCGTTTCCTTATGCCATTTTTGCTGTCACTGGAATCATTACATGAGAGTATGGTTTTTTTGAAGTGCTTTCTACTTTCCTAACTTTTGAAAATATTTTCTTTCTACTATTCTGTGTTAGCATTTAAAATTTGACTCCTTTGTATTACATAATGTACACCACTGCAAATGGTGCAGCTTGATTACTCCCAAGAGATCTTCTGGTGTTGATCACACAGGGAGAGCTTTGTTCGTGTAGCCGCAGCAATTACACTGAAGAGAGACTGTTACACTGAATTGAGACTATGTGCCTAAAAAACACAATTTTCTGCCCATTTTCCTTTTGGACCGGATATTTTCTTTTTGGCAAAGGGTCTGATCATCCATGTACATTGTGCCATTTGTGCAGCCTTTAGTAGTTGTTATCGCTGCTCATTACTTCCTTCACTAATGTGCCCAGGGAGAGGTGGGTGGTTGCTCTGTCAAAGGCATGAAGTTGCCCGGTTGCTTCTCTGCTGAGGACTTGTGCAGTTTCAGAGTTTCTCCTGCCTCCCTCTACCTTCAGCAGATTCAGTCCTGGCAGCCTGTTAAAAAGAGCAAGAATAAGGCAGGCGTGCTTCAAGAAACCATGGGAATGAAAAGAGGCTCAGGAGAGGAGATGCGGAGAGAGGTGATGTGTAGAAATTGTGAAAGGGTAATTCCAGTACCTTGAGCTGATTCTCAGCTTTTATATGGGATTTCAACCATGCCAGAAGACCCCGTATGATAGCTCTGCTTTTCCGTGACCTCAGACCATTCAAAAGACTCACTGGTCTGTGAAATACAGCGAGCTATAGCATGTGCTGTATGGCTTAGTTATATTTTGTGGGTTTTGGTTCTTTTGGTTACCAAATGACAATAACAAGAATTTACATGAATGTAAATCTTAGCCTAAGCTTTCTCACCAAGGCCTCTCTTCCCATGATTTCCTGTCCGCAAGAATCTCTTTCTGCCTCCTATCAGAGCCTTATTCTCATCTGTCAAACCCAAATCAATGAACTGTAGGTTCACTGAATCCTAAGGGACCTTTTCTCTTTCCTGGGTTTACAGATGAGTGAATCTAATGATTATGTCAGCCATTTTGATGGAGCAATTTTAGGATTTTTTTTTTTTGAATCCTCACATCTCTCCCGTGGCCTGTGTTTTAAGCAAGAATGAGCTTATGGATAGAGAGCCAACTGCTGAGCCACATTCCAGTGCTCCCATGGCGGTACATGCTGTGTAACTTTTATGATAATTTGAAAGTTCTGCTGGCTTAAAGTGTATCTGAGACTAGGGCAATACTCTCAGTGCTAAAATAGGAAAATGCTGAAAAGAGTGCATCTGGGACCAGGTGTCTGCAAGTTCATGGTGAAGTCAGAGTTGTGGCTCTCCACTGATGTGCTTTTCATAACCATTTTCCGTTCTCTTTTAAACCTATTTTGGGATAAACTCTTTTATCTTCTAATGACTTGAAGTGAGAAATAAACACACATCCAGGATACCAGTTCTCTTCAGTAGAAACAAACTCTCCAGAATGTTCTTTAATCTCATTGCCTTTGCGCTGGAAATCTAATGACTATGTAAAACTCTTTACCATAAAATATTCATTGCAGGCTCAACAACAGCAAATAATAATTTAAAAACTGATCATAGCTTATGTTGAGTTTCTACAGTGCTTCCCAGACTAAGACCTGTTTTATAGGAAACACCTAACTGAGCTTGAAAACTTCTTCTAAGGCAGTGAAAAATGAGTGAGAATACCTAAAGCATAAGTATGGAGATGTGAAGTGACCTGTTGGGATGCTGCTGCAGAAAGGAAACTGAAGTGGAAGAAATATCAGACCTCTAGGCACTGCCCAGTACTTGTCCATGGGACAATACTCCTCAGCCTATAGGTGGAGGACTGTGTTTTTTCTTGTCATTTTCTGGACTCAGGAGAAATAGCAGTATTAATTGGTTCCTCTCTCATCTTCTCCTCCAAGAATGCATTCTTTATTTTATTGCTGTTATAACCAGAAAGTATTTTCAAGGAATTTGGGGCTCGTGTTATTTGCCAGTATTCTCATAGACTGTGACAGTGGATCAGTGCAGTAAGTGATGAATATCTGCATGGGGGCAGGAATAAAAAATCATGACTGAAGGAGGACAGGAAACTTTTAAACCAGTGCTGCCACTGGAGACATTGTAAAATAAAATTGCACTGACCAGAGTCAAGATTTGGTAATGTACCAGAAATCATGTGATGACATTCTTGCCTGTGTGTATCACGTCTCCAGAGAGCACAGGGTTGGCTGAAGCAGCCAATCTGGTTCATGAAAAGGAGTTTGTACACATTTTTTCATTTCATCTTAGTTTAGGGATTTTTTTTCAATGACTTTTAAATTCCTCACTAGTGACTTAGAACTTTGTAGATATGTTGCTATTCCTTATTTTTATAGAATATATTTTCATCAGTTGATCTTAGATTTGTTCCCAAGTGCTTTTTTGTTAGAATTATAACAGACATCTTAATAGGCATATTAAATGGTAATTGCTGCAGTTAGTAAATTACTGAGCTATGTTATTGTTCAGTGTTACATAACTGATATTAAAATAAATAACGCAAAACAATCATCTAAGTTTAAAATAAAATTAAAATAAAACAAACGAGTAATGAAATCAACGGTGAAATAATACAGTTCTTTTGAAATGCCATCTCCAAGGAATAGGAAGAGAAGAAGTTTATTGGGAATAGTTACATGGATTCACTAAGGGGAAATCATGCTTGACCAATCTGGTGGCCTTCTGTGATGTCATCACTAGCTGGATGGAGACAAGTTGATATTGTTTATCTTGACTTCAGCTGGGTTTTTGACACAGCCTCCCACAGTATCCTTGTAATGAAGCTTAGAAGGTGTGGGATAGATGAGTGGATGGTTGAGAACTGGCTGACTGGCTCAGAGTTGAGATCAGTGGCACAGAGTCTGATTGGATTGTACTAGTGGAGTACCCCAGGGGTCAGTACTGGGTCTGATCTCGTTCAGCATCTTCAACTGTGTGGATGAAGTCCACCCTCAGCAAGTTTGCTGATGACGCAAAGCTGGGAGGATTGGCTGACATGCCAAAGGCTGTGCTGCCATTCGGTGAGAGCTGGGCAGGCTGGAGGTTTGAGTGGAAGGGAATCTGATGAAGTTCAACAAAAGCAAGTGTAGAGTCTGGCACCTGGGGAGGAATAATCACAAGCAACAGTACCGTTTAGGGGATGACCTGCTGGAGAGGACCTCTGTGGAGAAGGACCTGGGGTTCCTGGTAGACAACAGGTTGTCCATGAGCCAGCAGTGTGCTCTTGTGGCCAAGAAGGCCAATGGCCTCCCGGGTTGCGCAAATATGTGGAAGAACTTCTTTACAGTCAGCACTGGATCAGGTTGCCCAGAGAGGTTGTGGAATCTCCTTTGGAGATATTCAGAACCCATCTGGACGCCTTCCTGTGTGATCCACTGTGGGCAACCTGCTTAAGCAGGGGGTAGGACTCCATGATCTCCGGAGGTTCCTTCCAAACCCTGTGATTCTGTGATTCCATGATGCAGTAATTTGGTAATTCTGTTTTGCTTCACTGACCTTTCTTTATTAACTCAAAGTGTCATTTTCATGTTTTCTCCAAAACTAATGCTTCCTGTTAGCTGCCAAAGATCTCTTTATAACTGTCTGTGTCACTGTCTATTTAATCTACGTAGGTTGCTCTTACAACTATGCCTCCAATTTATTTCTGTGCAAACTGCAACATATATGAAAAGCACAAGAACACTATTTGATAGAGAGAATTCTCAGCTGCAAAACACTTTTTTTCAACATAATTACCACCATTAGCTGTGCATTTTCACTGGCAATGAACAAGATCTTGCATGCTATGCTCATAAAAATCTGTACCAACAGACGTAAGTCACTGTTTCAGACCTGACATAATTGCTAACAAAATGTTGCCCAGTCTTTCTTTCATCAGCTCAAACAGGTCTAAGTCAGAAGGTACCAAATCTAGCTATACAGTGGGCATGACAGGACAGTCCAGCCCAGACTGCCAACATGCTCAGCAGCCTTCAAAGTGACATGGGGCCTGGCATTATTGCTTCACAAGAGAAAGGTTTGAGCCTTCAGCTTAATCAGCATCACGATGTAGTGTTCTGAGTTGATGGTTTGTGTGGGTTCCAGGAAATCCAGAAGGATCTCCATTTTCCCATCCTGAAAGACAGTGCACATCACTTTACCCACTAACGGCTGTATCTTGAGCTTTTGTTTCAGTGGGAAATTCACATATCGACACTCCATGGGCTGCTCTTTTGACTCTGTCTCATAGTGGTGACACCATACCATCTCACCAGTAACGAAGCAGTCCAGGAAACAGTCACCCTCAGTTGATAGGTCCTGGCAAACTTGCATAGTGTTCTTTCTGTTCCTGCATCACCATTCTATCTGGCACAAACTTTGCATTATTCCAGTGTTACCACCATTGTTTCCAACATATTGAAGCTGAGGTGCAGCTCTGTACACAGTTCCCTGGTCATAACCTGCTGATTTGTGCAGGTGAGCTGATGGAGACATTCTTCATTTCATGATGTGACAGCTATGCACCTATCTGGAACATGGCTTGTCTTTCACATCGCTGTCACCACTGCTGAAATGTGCCACCCAGCACCTCTCTGTGCTCACATCTACTGTTTGATCTCCATAAACATTCAGAAAGCATCACTGAATATCAATTGGGTGCAAAGTTTTTCAATGTGGAGGAATTCAGTTCCACATCTTTGCTTCAGATGCATTTCCATGTCAGACTGTATTTTGATGGAATGCCCCTCTGCTGCCATTTATTGCACAGAACAACAGAAGAAAAGTAAGTTAAAAAAAAAAAAAAAAAAAAGAAGAAGAAGAAAAATGTGCAATGCAAGACACCAAATGCAACCCCCTTTGTCCTATTGTGCTACCTAAAGGCTAAGATGAGATGTTTTGTTATTTTTCTGCTTTGCTGGAACCAACCAAACCTTCCATCAGTACAGTTTCTTTTCATTTCACTGGATGGTCTCAACTGATTGAATGGTTAAGATCAGAATGTTGAAGCTACTGGAGAGGGTGGTCATCTCTGAGTGATGTGATAGCTAGATGGTTAAATGTGCACATTTTTGATACTGCAGTCATGTTTGTTGTGGTAATCATTTTTATGCAAGAGAGAAAAGATAAGAGAATTTTGGAAGAAAACAAGAATTTTCTAGGTATTCTAGGAAGTGTGTTTGCATGAAGTTTCCACTAGTTTATTTTTTGTTGTTGTTTCTGCAGCAACAATCTTTAACACCATTCTGCATGAGCAAGCGGATCAGACCAGATGATCTCTGAAAGTCTCTGCCAACCTCAACCATTCTCTGATTCCACGTTAAAATGTGCAATGTAAATAAGCAAGCAGATGTTCAGAATTCCCCCCTTTCTTTTCCTGTTGAAAATCTACTGTCTTAGTTCTATGATTGTTTGGACCCATTCCTGGAAATCTTTTTAAGTTAAAAATTCCGGTAATGCTGTCTTGCTGCTTGTCATCCTCATTCATTTGCAGCTGGAAACAAAAGTGCCTTGCTGACACTTACAATACAGATTAACAGCGACTTTAAATGCCTGTGAGTTCAGCTGTACATGTTCACACAAGATGTTTTTAATAGAATGAGTTGGAAGTGACCTTACATCCATAACACTGCCAGAGACAACTCTGACAGTCACTATCTCAGCCTGCCCAGGGTCCCATCCAATCTGGCTTTGATCAAATACTTCCAGGGACAGGACACCCACAGCCCCTCTGGGCAACCTGCACCAGCGCCTCACCACACTGAGTAAAGAATTTCTTCCTAATATCAAGTCTAAACCTTCTTTTGGTTTAAAGCCACTACCTTTGTCTTAGCACTACATGCCTCTCCTTCTTTTTTGTAGACCCATTAGGTACTGGAAGGCTGCAATGAAGTATTCCTGCAGCTTTCTCTTCTCCAGGCTTAACGAGCCCAGCTGCCTCAACCTTTCTTCATAAGAGAGGTGATTAAGCTGCTGATCTTTGCGGCTCTCCTCTGGAGCTGCTCCAACAGCTCCATGTCTTTGTTATGCTGCAGACGCTAATGCTGAATGCAGCACTCCAGGTATGATCTCACAAGAGTGGCATAGAGAATCAACTCCCTTGACCTGCTAGTTAGGTTTCTTTTCATGCAGCTCAGGATACAACTGCCTTTCTGGGCTGCAACTGTTCATGTTGTTGTCTCATGTTCAGTTTTTTGTCCACCAGTACCCTCAAACCTACCTCCTCAAGGCTGCTCTCCACCACTCACTGCCCAGCCTGTATTCATGTCTGGGATTGCCCTGCAATCCAGGTGCAGAGCCTGGTATTTGACCTTACTGAGCTGCATTTGGTGCATTTTGAGAGGGCTCACCTCTCAAGCCTGTCCTTGCCCCATTGGATGGCTCCTTTGTCCTTCAATATATTGACTTCACCACTCAGTGTGGTATTGATCTCAAACTTGCTGAGGCTGCACTCAGTCCCACAGTACGTCACTGAGAAAGATATTGAAGGAACCAGCCTCAATAATGACCCTTAAGAAACAGCACCACTGGTCTCCTCATTGATACAGAGCTGTTCCCAATGGTTCGAATGCAGCAGCTCCACCTACCATTTCTCTTAGGACCCTTTGTTGTACGTCATTAAGTCCCACAGATTTGTGCACATACAAATTTCTTAGATGATAGTTTTGAATGTGGTCTTCTCCTACAGCTGACAGTACTTCATTTTTCCATTCCATGCATTCAGGTGCTGTGAATTGGGCGCTGGTAGTAGTAAGGGAGCCAGCATGGCAACGGAGATGGCAACAACAATAAACACAGTTATTGGGCAACAGTCAGCTTGGTCCCAGTTTCACAGGGATAGACACAATGTTGAAATGAAATCACCATTCCCCCATGGTGAAGTCTTTTTTTCTCGCCTATTATGATCACAGCACTTTATTTTAGGGATGAGACAGTGAATTTGGGGAAATGAGAGATAATCCTTGGGATGCAATCCAGTCTTTATTTTTATTTCAGTTTCTACTGCATTCTACCCATGGCAAACAACCACTGAGATATTTGATTGGATCCAAGATTGTCATTTTATGATGCAATAAAATATGTTGATGTAATTGAAGCATCTATTGTGTGAGTAAAGGACAAGATGATTAAGTTGTAAAAGTAGCATGGTGACAGAAATGTAGCTCATTTACTTTTATTTTTCTTTTTTAAATGCAACAGTTTTGTTAACTAATCTTTGGAATCATGCCCAGTTTGAGAAGGAAAATTAATCCAAGTGAGCATACGCTCATACATAGTTGCTCTATTCAGAAATAAAATTCTGTATAGCTGCTTCTGGTCCAACAAATTTGTTTGGGATATTCCCCTAGTATTTTGTTTTTAGAATTACAATTTAAAATTATATAAGCAAATTCTCTATCAATAGTATTGATTCCACAATTGAAAGAGTGCAAATAAAGGCAAGTAACAAACTGAGAATGGAGTAAAACGCCGTGACTTGGTGTGCATTCAAACACAGTTATCAAAGTACAACATAATCACAAAGGGGAATTAGAGTGAACTGACCGGAGAGGTTGCTCCTGAAGATGTAAAAAAGGGGGTAAGATGGGGGCAAATGTTTCTTTGAAAGGTGCTCTGCATTGCTTTTCCCATTTAACAATATATTTCTGGTGCAGAGAAGCAGTAGCCAAATTCTGTATACCCAAATAATGCCACATTAATGGCACTGCTGTCAATAGTCATTTCTTGAAGAGGCTGCACCCACTCTGTATCTTATTACATGCTGGCCAGGGATTGCAATGCAGAGACTGGCAGAAAGCTGGTGTGAGATCTCTGTTTTGCCCTGTGTGCTTCCCAAACCAAAATGGAAAGGTGATGATATGTCAAGAAAGGAAATACTTAACAGCCCAAAAAACAAAAATATGGAAAGCAGAATAAGAACAAGACTGAATAGACTTATGTTTGGTAGAGGGCTTCACTTGGGGTTATTAATATTTTGCAAAGGCAGCCATCCTGGGATCTGAAGAAACATCTGTAATGGTAAGCCCACATCAAATGAGTGTGATGCCAGTAAGCAAACCCAAGGAAAAGAAACGAGGTTTCCAGCTCATGATACTGCATGTTAAACATGATTTATCAGTTCCACCTATGAGTTTTGTGAATCTTAAAAACATCCATATGGGTGACCATTGAAGTACTGCCATTTGGATACAAGTGTCTGCCTTTACTTTGAAATATGTTCTTTCTGCTTTTACCAATGACCAGAAAATGTTGAGTGTGTCAGTTAAGTATGGCTGATGTTATTCAATGCTCTCTGAAAATATTCTGCCATAAATTGGCCAGCATTGATATCACTTTTCACCAGCCCTGGAATGACTTTCATGCCTTCTGTGGTTCATGCCAAAATCATTCTATGTTTCTGTAATTTCATTTTTCCTGTTACTCATACATCTGCATTTTGAAATGTCTTGATTTATGGAAAGGCTCGACTGAGGCTCAAGGTATGCATGCTCAAGTTCTACAGAAGTTCAGGGTGTTGCTGAGATGTAAAGACACAGACTCTCTGTGCCAAGCTCAGTCTTTGTGTCACCTACTGCACTGAAATAGCCTTTGCTCTGAGATATCCGCTTGTAACCTCTGAGGTGCCATCAGCACAAGGAGAGTATGGAACAGCAGCCATCTTAAAGGGAAGGAGAACAGTTTGTTATAGTACAGAAAATAAATACGTCACAGTTCACATTTTTATTTCACCTGATAAGGGGAAAAGTCCTGGAATAAGGGACTGAGGGAATATTAAATGCGTAGATGGACTCATGGGGTGCTTGAAAGGAGTAATCAAAGCAAGAGGATTTGATGCTTCTGAAAAAGAAAGACTACAAAGCATAGGCTGTTCTTCCCGGAAATCATTTGGAGTGTCCACAAAATGGGTGTGGGTTGGTAATAAAGGATGATCTTGCTTGTGAAGAATTCAATAGCATCCCACGAGATCCTTAGAACAAAAGTTATTTGAAAATTCCTTTTTGTAAGTAAGCCTACCATAATCCTGTTATAGTTACGTTGGACATCTGCTTGGGCTTTGAGGATTGCCTCTTCCTCAGGGCCAGCTTCAGGGTGTAGAACATGAATCCTGTGGGATGCATATTTTTAGTTTGGGTCGAAGTTGTGGTTATGAGTGTAGGGTCACTTCATTCTCATAAGGAATGACCCCAGAGAAGAAAGTAAGACCCACTCGTAATGTTAGGGTCAGGAACTCTAATTATGGGCACATATGTGATTCTATCCATTATTGTTCTCATGTAAGAGCCCTTTCTTCTGTCACAGCACAGAAGTTTCCCCCGAAGAGGCCTCCATCTGTTCTCTTCTTTCTGCCATGTACTTATGTAGACATAGGTGTTGCAGTGAGGCTGTTCAGATAGAATGTGATTCTTTCCTTTCCCCAGACCAAAAAAAAATATGCAAGATCCATGTACTGGTCCACTCAGAAGCAGGTGTGACTGGCAAAAGGCCAAGAACATTATGTGATGCTAACAGTAAGTGATAGAAAAACAGGGAGATCTAGCAGTCTTCTGGTATTTAGAGACTGATGCGATGCCGAGTCAGTATGAACACAGCAAAGCAGATAACATGGTGAACCAAAGATGTCCACCAGTGTAAGAGTGAATCCCATCTGTGTCAAAATACACTAAGTGGTGATGTTCCTAAAAGATGCATCGGATGTTCCCTCCAAGTCAGTGAATGGTTTGCCCACCATTTCCATTAGTACCTGGCTGATACTTTAAATAGCAATAACGGAATGCTGTTAAGACAAGTGATAAGAGAAGGACGGGCCTTATCTAGTAGGTGGCAATCCTGTCTTCCATCCCAAGACATTCTATGATTCTGTGATTATCCAGTTTGTCATTGAGCAACTTCTCCTTCTCCATGCGGAGCCCAAGGATGCAGATTTTAAGAAGTGGAGCAGCTGGCTGATGGTATGTGGCTCAGTCATCACAGCAGATCACCCCAATGGCTCTTTGGGCAGCGAGTGGGAACATCTCAGGGCAGACCTTCTCCTGAAGAGCTGGCACAGCAACACAGCACTCCACAAAGCCTGGAGCTTTGAATGCTTTTCAAGATTGTACTTGCTTTTTCCTTGAAAATGGTTTAGGTTTATCTGCCTGTTAGGATTCTCTCTATTTTCTGTCTCTGCTGGATTTGCTAGTTTTAGAATGAAGAGTTCATTACTGTGCTTCACTGACATCATGACTTCTGCCTTCAGAACAGACTGATAACAGATGCTGTATGCATCCAAACTTTCTTAGTACAAACTTGCTTTAATTTTTAAATTAACCTGTCACAGCCTACGGTCACTTCTCATCTTGTGACTTCTGTAGAAACATGAAGAATTTGGGATCATCCTTTCTGTGATTTGTCTTTCTGTCCCTCATAGAGATTTGGAAATTTGATGCTGTAGATTGTTTATTAAATATGGTTTCCTCATCTTGACTCTGTCTAGTAAGCAGCTGGAATCTGTTCAACCAGAAATCAGAGGAACCCAAACTGGAAACATTTCAGAAATGAGAGGACACATGCATCCTTGGTCCAATGGTGTTGGTCTAACTCCATGAGCAAGAAGTAACCCACGGTATCTCAGTACATCGGTTCCTCAAATGTTAGCACACCATTCCTCCTAGAGAGATGATAAATCTCACCATATCTGGCACTCAGGGGACATATACCACATTCCTGGTTCTTTTCAGTAAGCTGCCACAAAAATACCAGGCCTGTGATAGCTGGTAAAACACTTAACAAAAAACATATTTGAAAATGCTGCCATTCATCCTATGCAGAAATATCAATCTATTGATATTTATTGCCATGAAAAAAATCCACTTGCAAGTGATTTCTGGTCAAATGTTTGCTTGGTCTCACCAAGCAGAAGCTCAGCAATGCTCGCACATCTAGAGAAAAGCTGATACATACTCAGGTTGTTTCTGAATGCACTGACAATCAGAAAATGTTAAACTTTAAAAAAAAAAAAACAACAAAACCTCCCATTTGGAAGAGAGCTTCACATGCTGCAAATAATTCATGTATTCATTCATGCTTTTCTTATGAAATTTATTTTTTTCCCCTCTTGCTAAACAGTTGATGAGAACATGATGTACCTGTCTCCAGTTTATCCTCCCTTGCAAGACTCAGTTTTGTTGGTCCTACTAATTGCACATAACAACTTAGAAGCCAGATAATAGATAGAGTTATCAACTATAGAAAGAAATTACTTATAGAAATACAGCCTTCTTAATTCCATCTCAGACAGCCTGTTGTAATTTTCATCTGCTCATACTCTGGGCAGTGGTTTTCACATCTGCTCTGTTTACTTCTTGCTTACTTTCCATATTGTTCTGTGGAGCAGCTTGCGTTCTCCGCATATGTTTCTCTGACCCTCCTCAGGGGATGCAATTCTCACTGGTTTCATTCCTTCAGACAAGGCTAAGGCTTCTTGCATGTTTGGGCATCCTGACTGCTGGAAGGAAGCTTCTCCAGCTCTGAGTGCAGCTCTTCCCACTGGACATGATCACTGTGTTGACACTCTGTCTTATGGCTCATCACTATCTCATTTTATCCACGCCATCTTGGTGTTATTTACTGTCCTCCACAAGCAGAAGTTTCCAATGAAGTTGTCATAGAATTACTGAATAATTTGGGCTGGAAAGGACATTAAATACCACCCAGTTCTACTCTCCCTTTACCTCTTGTCTGGTCACTACACTTTCTGAAGGTGTCCTTCCTCCTCTTTCCTGTAGGTTCCTTTTGTGTGTTGGAATGGTTGCAATGAGCTTGCTTCAGAGACTTCACTTCTCAAAGCTAAAATAACCCCAGCTCCCTCAGTTCATAGAAGAGGTGCCCAAGCCATCTGATTATCTGTGTGGCCCAGTTTCTTGGTTTTGTTCCACTGCTGAATTTTCTCAGGCAGTGTTTCCCTGAGATTGCTGCTGCTGCATCCTCTTTGCTCTCGGAGATCCAAACCATTCCATGACAAATCTGAAGTCAGGGAGGACTGCCAAAAGATCCATAGCTGGTCCAAGGAAACAAGACCCAAATTTACATACAGTTTTTAGCACGTTTTTTTATTCTGTGTGACAGTCAAAGGATGTTCAGTGTTCTGATAATACCGAGAATACTGAGGAACATCTCTTAATCAAAGCATGAGTTAAAAAAATCTTCAATGACAGTAACAGACTTTATTACTAATAATGGCAACCTTTCAAACATCCTTGCCTACACAAAAGTTTTGAATACAGGTGTATGATCTTTATGGTGAAAATACTTTTCTTTCACATGCAGTGACTATCATGCAATGGCACC